TAATGTTTTTTCTGCTATCTGATTATCATAAAAGGACTAAATTCTGAGTGAGAAAGAAAATACTTGCTAATTTTTATTGTTAATGATTTGATAAGCTATGATGAGGTTTTATTGCTTATTTATGATAAGCTTTTTCTCCTTCACCGTAAAAGGTGACTTGGCTAGTGCTCTATTAAGTGGTCTGCAAGTTGGAATATAGTTAGTTCTTCAAGGAAGAATGGTGAAAGTACGAGTTCTTTGTTCTTTCTCCCATGTCTCATCATTTAGGCTGTCTTATTTTCCATTAACATGTCTTTTTCCCTCTACCTTACATTACACACACACACACACACACACACACCCTTTTCTGTCGAAAAGTTCTCATGTAGTAAAGGCTGGACTCAAATGCTTTTTTCTTTCAATGTAAAAGTATTTATTTTATGATGTAAATATTTGCCTACATGCATGTATGGATAGATGGGAACCACATGCATACCTAGTGCATATGCTGAGGCTAGAAGAGGGTGGAGGATCCATCCCCTGGAACTGGAGTTACAGACTGTGAGACATGGTATGGGTGCTGGGAACTGAGCCAGCCCACTTCTGCAAGAACAGCAAACGCTCTTTCTTAACTACTGAGCTATCTCTCTCCAGCCCCTGAACTCGTTCTTTGTCATTGAGGATGATTTTGAACTAATGATCTTCCTGTCCCATATGGGGTTGTAGATGTTTGCCACTGTGCCTAGTTTTATACAATGCTGTGGATCAAACACGGGACTTTATGCATGCCAGATAATCTCTCTGCCAATTGAGCTACTGTGTTAACACTGCTAATAGTAGGTTCCCAACTGGTCACAGTAATTCTTGTTTAATTCTGTAGTATTGATCCCTCTTCACCATAGTCATCTCTTGAGTCTGTCTGCCAATCCAATACTGTACCTAATTTTTTAAGCCTGGATCTGGGTTCCACCACACAACACACAGACACATACAGACACACAAAACACACATCCTACTTTTTGGGAGACAGAAGCGGGTGGATGGATGGCTTGCTCTGAGTTCGATGCCAAATTCCAGAACAGCCAGGGCTACACAAAGAAACCCTATCTCGTAAATTCTGTAATGCATCCGTAGCAGTGGTGCTTGCCCCTTTGAAAGATATACTTTCATTTATTTCTGTGGTGTCAGGGATTGAGTCTAGGGCTATGGTAGGCAGGCGTTACAGTTTTCTTAAATACTTTTTAGTTTGACCGGGTGTGTTAATGCTTTTTAGTCCCAGTACTTGGGAGGCAGAAATAGGCATGTCTATGTGGTGAGTTGGAGGTTAGCCTGGTCTACATAGCAAGTTCCGGGATAGCCAGATTGACACAAAGAAACCTTGTCTCAGAAAACCAAAACCCACACAGGTCTTGAATTTGAGATCCTCCTGCCTTAGCTACCCCCAGTCACTGCCACCATTATAGGCCTTTGTCATCAGGCTCAGCTCTGTTATTTAATTTATTGCAGCCCTATATATAGTCCAGGGTGGCCTTGACCTTGTAATTCTCCTTCCCTACAGGCGTGTGCTGCTTGTTTATAAATCTGATGGAAGTGAGACACATTTATGTGTGAGAAATTTGATAAGTGCTTATTTGTGCTTTATGGACACTGGACACCTTGTAGTTCTCGTATAAATAAATCTAGAATTTTAAGGATGCTGCAGACCATCTTGGTTATCTTTTTAAAATATCTCATTTGTTTAGAATGTTCATCCTCCTACCCTCTTTTCTTTTTTCTTTTTCTTTTTTTTTTTTTTGAGACAAGGTTTTTCTGAAACTTGTCCTGGAACTTACTTGCTCTGTAGACTAGGCTGGCCTTAAACTCACAGAGATCCACCTGCCTCTGCCTTTCCAAGTGCTAGGATTAAAGGCGTAGGCCACCATCGCCCTGTTTTACCCTATATTCTTTATATAAAGATCCATGCATTAGTGTTTTGCTTACATGTATGTCTGTGTGAGGGTATCAGTGTCCTCTGGAACTGGAGTTACAGATAGTTGTGAACTGCCATGTGGGTTCTGGGAATTGAACCCGAGCCCAGGTCCTCTGAAAGAGCAGCCAGTACTCTTAACCCCTGAGTTGAATACCCTGGAACTAGAATAAGATCCCATCCAAAAGGAGAAAGTAAAAACCATAATTGGCAGTAGTTCTATCTAATTATTGCAGCTGTCCTAAGCTATGTCACTGGGTCCTGTAACCTATTTATGTAAGGTTTGTTGCATTTGTCACACAAAATGTCCTTATTTTTTGAAAAAATTCCCCAGTCAAAAGCATACCTACAACATAGCCATACTGTACAAATCAAACACCCTGTAACCACCTGTTTTCTCATTATAACTATAGAATAACACCAATGTCTGCTTTTACAAATACTTCCTTTTACACTGGAGGATTATGCTATGTCTAACAGTATTGAGAAAGCCCTTTGCGGATCTGGAGAGATGGTTCATTGGTTAGGAGCATTTGTTGCTCTTGCAGAGGAATCTGGGTTCACCTTCCCAGCACCCACACATTAACTGAACTATATATTTCAGACTGGCCTCAACTAAACTTCCCGCCCTGGCTTCCCCAATTCTGTTATTACAGGTCTGTGCGTCACACTGCTTGTTATTTAAACTTTTGGCAGTTGTTTGCTTTTAAATGGCAATTCACTGCTTCCACAGAGCCTTCGTAGAAGTGCTGCCTCATTTGTCAAATGGTGAACACTTCTACTTCTTCCAAGGATTCAAACCTTTACTGTAATACCTGCTAGGTAGAACTTGGAACCAATCAAATGAGTCCATTTATATTAGCCAGATATACACCATTGACAGTTTAAAGCTAGGTTTGTACCAAAACAAACAAACAAACAAACAAACAACAACAGCAACCAGAAACTTTCTCTTTCGTGTTTCCTACTGTCTGTGGAGAGCTTTGGTAAGTTAATGAATTTTATTCAGGTAGTCTGTTTTTAAAAGGATCCAGGTTTTTTATCAGGTCAGTGTGATTGGTTCTTTTATTCGAAGTTACGTTGTAACAACGCTTATTATAGACATTTTTAGAATTGTCTTTTGCATTTATTTACATAAGTCAAATATTTTTACTCACTTATGTTAAATATTTGGAAATTTTGTAATGTGGTTTATATACAAGATTCATATTTTAAAAATAACCTCATGCATGCATATTGTGCAGGAAGAGGGGAAGCACCCATCACTGAGCATCTCACCTTATCACTCGCCTGCCTTAGTGCTGGATTAGAAGTTTATTGTGCCACACATTCTTCAGCTATCCTCTCAGTTTTGAAACCTCACTCTCTTTCAAAGCAAAAAGTTAGACTTACTCTACTGAATAAATAGATTTGTTGTTATTCCTGACTGTTAGAGTTTTAGTAGAAGAGAAGTAGCTAATGTACAGTCTAGAAGATTGTGGTGTAAAAGGATGGGTTAGGAGGTGTGCTGTAGTAGAATAACCTCAAGAAACCAAGGGTAGACTGCAGTTGAGTCTCTATGTGTTGTCCACTCACCACTCCAGCAGCTATTTGTACCGCAGGTTTCCAAGTCCATACTAGTCCACAGGCCTGGGAGCACTTCGTGTGCTAGAATGCTAATGCTTTGTTGCGCATTTGTGGGTTTTATTTATTTATATTTATTTATTGACTGTTAACAATTGGAAAGCGTGCAGAAATAGTGCAAAGCAATATGAAGTTGATGGGGAATATAGAGCTCTGCCTGGAGCATTTGCCTACCTATTCCCTGAATGAAGCCACAGTTATTAATTAGAACTAATGTTTAATGTTGTTAATATCAGTATCATTTAAGGCCTCAGGGAGAGTGAATTGCCAGAGGACACACATTGTGAAATTAGATCATACTCTTATATCATGTAGGTTTTTTTTTTAAGATTGTGTTTGTGTATGTGTTGGGAAGATACAGTTGCACTGCACCCAGAAGATGGGTGCTATATCCCTTGAAACTGGAGTTAACAGATGGTAGTGAGCTCACCTGTGTATGCTGGGAATTTATAACCAAAGTCCTATGCCAGGAGCATTTAGGGCTCTTAACCACTGAGCCACCTTTCCAGCCCTGTGTCATATGATGTTTTGTTTTTCTTGCAGTGCTGGGCATTGAACTCAGCTCCCAGCCCCAGTCCCTCTCCTTTTTAAGCTGACCTCAAACACATGGTGTCGTCAGATGTTCTTGAATGCCTCATCCTCCTGCCTCAGCTTCACCAGTGATGGGACTATAGGCTCGGGCCACTATGTCTAGCTTAATTGTTCTCTGGGAATCATGCTAAATAGAACTATAATGAATACCTGTTTGCATCATGGGAAGTAAAATTTATATACATTGAACCCTCTTGAATTCAGGAACTTTTAATCACCTTATAGATGAGATAGTATTTTGGGACCCTAAAGAGAAAGCATTTTGAAAGTTGACTAGAATTATAACCGAATATACTCATAGTGGAAGCAGGTTTTCTCCTGCCAGTCTTAACATTACCAGTTTAGATTTAATTAACTTCATTGGCCCAAACTGTTTATGCCAGTGTCTGCCCAGACTTTAACTACCTAATAGTGTTAGGGAAGGTGATATGCCTACTGTGTTATAACCTGAGTATTTTAAGTTTAATGAGTTTAAGAGGAAGGCTTCTGCTTTCCTATCAGAGATAAAACAGACTAATTTGATTCTCTCATAAATGAAAATTTTAAGAAAATAATTGTTCTTTTCATTTTAAAGTTTCTTAATTCATATCCTTAGTTTATATTTGAAAAGAGGAACCAATGACGTCCTGCTGATCCTCAGTAAGAGTTGTTCATTTAGTGAATCGCATTCCTCCCAGTGTTGAGTATGGCGGACACTTCTGTCTCAAAATATATAGTTATCCATGAGTTGATATACTTGAGTGTTTAACTATTTATTTTGACAGTTACATTTGTTTTCCTTGGTTTGGGGGCTTTAGAATGTAAATAAAATTTAATGTTAATGTTTTCCCTCTAATTACAGGAGTCAGAAATACCGTCAGAGGAGGGGTACTGTGACTTTAATAGTAGGCCAAATGAGAACTCTTATTGCTATCAACTTCTTCGTCAACTAGATGAGCAGAGAAAGAAAGATATTCTTTGTGATGTCAGCATTGTGGTGAGCGGGAAAATCTTTAAAGCTCATAAGAACATCCTGGTTGCAGGCAGCCGTTTCTTTAAGACTTTATATTGTGTTTCAAACAAAGAAAGCCCTAACCAAAACAATACTACCCACTTAGATATTGCTGCAGTTCAAGGTTTTTCAGTCATCTTGGACTTCCTGTATTCTGGGAACCTGGTGCTCACAAGCCAAAATGCCATTGAAGTGATGACAGTGGCCAGCTACCTTCAAATGAGCGAAGTTGTCCAAACTTGCCGAAATTTCATTAAAGATGCCTTAAATATAAGCATTAAGTCAGAAGCTCCAGAGTCTGTGGTTGTGGACTATAATAATAGGAAACCAGTTAATAGAGATGGCCTAACTTCATCAAGGGATCAAAAAATCGCCAGCTTCTGGGCGACACGGAATCTTACCAGTTTGGCAAGTAGTATAAAAATTGAAAATGATGCTTGTAATGTCGACGAGGGCCAAATAGAAAACTACCAGATGAATGACAGTAATTGGGTCCAGGATGCTTCTCCTGAATTGGCTGAAAATGAATCTCAAGTTAAAACAAAAGTGTTTATTTGGAATAATGTAAGCTCTCAAGAGACTGGCAAAGCAAGGAGGAAAAACCAAACTACCAAGAGATTTGTTTATAATATACCACCTAATAATGAAACAAATGTAGAAGATTGCTCAGTGATGCAGCCACCTGTTGCCTATCCAGAAGAAAATAACTCCCTACTCATCAAGGAAGAACCAGGTAACTATCATGTGTGCAAAGGTACCTAGTTTTCATTCTGATCGTACTTCAGAAATCATTTTGAGATTTATTTTTTAGTTGGAAAATGTTTAATCATGAATAGTAGTAAGAACAGGGGTACTCAAATTTGTTTTTTTTTTTTTTTGTTGGTGTGTGTGTGTGAGTTTAAAAGTTTTAGATTGGGTAGTAACTAAAGTACTGTCTGTCTTATTAATAACTAAATATTGCATATACAGATACTTTTTGACTTAGGATAAGGTTATATCTGTAAACACATCATAAGATGAAGCTGTCTCAGCCGGGCGATGGTGGCGCACGCCTTTAATCCCAGCACTCGGGAGGCAGAGGCAGGCAGATCTCTGTGAGTTCGAGACCAGCCTGGTCTACAGAGCTAGTTCCAGGACAGGCTCCAAAGCCACAGAGAAACCCTGTCTCGAAAAACCAAAAAAAAAAAAAAGATGAAGCTGTCTCTAAGTCAGAAATGCATTTAATAAACTTAGCCATTTGAACATCACTGTTTGGCAGCTCATTCAACAAGAGCTCTATCTTATATAAGTAGTAAATGTCTTAGTAACTTTCAGTTAATAAATCAGTTAACTGAAAGTAAAGTAAAGTGGTTGTAGAGAGCTTGCTTTTGTTTTATAACAATTTGGAAAATTTTTGGATTAAACTCTTAAATTGGACCCTTCAGAGTATGGCTCCTGCAGGGCAGCCTCTGCCCTGTTTTTAGCATGACTATAAGGGAGTGTTTAGTTGTCGTGTGTAGAGTTAATCACTTTGTCTTTTTGAAATATTTGTAGGAGCTAGTTAACATTAGCATATTTATTGCTATAGAATTTTGCCAATTCAGAGAACTCTAATTTGTTTAGAGCTGCTCTGTTTAGCACAGGGCCTCAGAAGCAGGAGATCCTGAGTTGTCACCTGAGTCTCGTTATATATAATTTGTATAGTTTAGGAGGTGGGGCTTGTTTGTTTTTGAAGAATTTTATTTTCCTATTCAAACATGGCAAAGAGGACTTTGTTTTCACTATATTCTTAAGTGAGTATATACATGCCATATTGGTGGTAAAGACCTTTTTAAAACTGGAGTAAAAGACTGCTAAAGAATACAGATAGCATGGACTTAAATTGGCTGTTCCTAATTTTGAAGCATCTTGGGGTTGGGGGTTGAGATTTTCCATATTTTAAGTTTGTGCACTATTGTGTGAAAATGCCTGTTTTACCTCAAAACCTGCTTGAACTGATAGGGTTGCGTGTATACTCTGGCATTTTGGAGGCATAAGCAGGCAGATCTCTTGAGTTCAAGGCCAGCCTGGTCCACATAGCAAGTTCCCTCACAGGCACTTTCAAAAAAAGACACCCTCCACCCCCCACAAAAACCATGCCTGTTGGTGTGTGATTTGTATAATGAGGATGGAGTGGGGTTTTTTGATTGTTGTTGTTGTTTTGTTTTTTCTCTCCCCCAGACAGGGTTTCTCTGTTGCAGTCCTAGCTGTCCTGGAACTAGCTCTTGTAGACCAGGTTGGCCTCAGATCCACCTCCCGAGTGCTAGGATTAAAGGTGTGCGCCACCACCGCCCATCTTGATGGAGTACTTTTAAAAGCTACTATTTTTATTGTGTGTGTGTGTGTGTGTGTGTGTGTGTGTGTAAAAGCGTAGCACACACATGTGAAAGTCAAAGGACTGCTCTGTGGTGTTCTCACTTTTATGAAAGTTCCATGGATCAAACTTGGGTTGTAAGCTGGCAAGTCAAACATCTTTCCCCACTGAGCCATCCTGCTCGTCGTCACACACTGTTTCCTTTCCAGAAGGCAAGCCTGGGAAATGGGTTTTGACCTTTTGGATTTGAGTTAGTTTTCTCTAGTAGAAATAATGATGTGGAAATGAATAATACTAAATTTTCTTTGGGTCCCCACAAGATTATTAGTGCCCCCAATTATCAGGAAATAGCCTAGAACTGTCTATATTAGCAAAATGGATTATTAATATTTGTTTTTGTTTAACAGAGTGTTGGTTACAAGTTGTTATAGATAATGATCAGAAAAAAAGCTAAACAAAGGAAATTAGATTCAGTGTTCTTGCTTTGAAAAGAAAAAAAAGAGAAATGCTGTTGGATAAGGCTCTTGTACATTTTTTAAAAATTCATTATTTTTTTTTATGTGCATGAATGTTCCACCTGCATCTGTATCTATGTATCATGGTTGTGCGTGATGTCTGTGAAGGCCAGAAGAGGTCCTTAGATATCCTGCCTGGGACTGGAGTTGTGAGTTGCCTTGTGGGTGCTGGGAATTGAACCCAGGTCCTCTAGAAGAACAGCCAGTATTCGTAACCACTGATTGGCCAGTAGCCAGGCTGTAAGTATAGGCGGGGCAACCAGAGTAGAATTCTGGGAAGAGGAAAGACAGAGATGCAGTCATAAGCCAGATGCAGAGGAAGCAAGATGAGAATACCTTACTAAGAGAAGGTACCAAGCCATGTGACTAAACATAGACAAGAATTAGTGGCTAATTTAAGATGTAAGAACTAGTTAATAATAAGCATGAGCTAATAGGCCAAACAGTTTATAATTAAATTAACGTGTGGGAATGTGCATGCATACTGCAGGGTCTCCCCATGTAACTCTGTCCTGGAACTTGCTGTGTAGACCAGGTTATCCTCAAACTCATAGAGATGCCTGCCTCTGCCTCCCAAGTGCTGGTATTAAAGGTGTGTATCACCCTGCCCTGCTGCTGTTCTTTTTCCTTGTATTTTATATCAGTTTTATCAGCAAATCCCTGATGAGACTTTTTTGAGACAGCCTTATGTAGCACAGGCTGACCTCTGACTATAGTTGAGTATCACCTTTATATCCATCCTGATCCTCTTGGTTCCACCTCCCAAGTCCTGAAATTATAAGGGTGTGCCAACATACCTCCCTCTGAGGTAGTTTTTATCTAATGCCTCAGCTGGCACTTTGAGTATTGACTTAATACAGAAGTCCTGACAGTTCAAAAATGGTAATGTATTCCAACGTGGTAGTAGCTAGAGTGTTTTTAAAAAGTGTATATTCACACACACACACACACACACACACACACACACACACACACCCTAAACCACTGAAACATGAATATAATAAAAAATTTTTGGGGAAACAAGCAGGTATTTTGGGTGATGGCAGAACTAATTAGAGCAAATCTTGGTCTTATAAAGCCTAGCAATGGTGGCGTATGCCTTTAGTCCCAGCACTCAGGAGTCAAAGGCAGGCTGATCTTTTGAGTTCAGTTCCAGGACAGGCTTTAGCTACAGAGAAACCTGTCTCAAAAAACAAAAACAAAGAAACAAACAAACAAAAAAACAGAGAAACGATCACATAAAATTGGAATGACTTTAAAAGAACAGAAAAAAGAAAACAAAAACAACAGTATTGACCCATGATGAAAATACTTTGAAAAGTCTCAACACTGTTAGCAATTATTTTAGCAAGCACCAAAAACTGCTGGCAGTTTAATGTGTCAGTTTATCTCATCCTAAAAATGATAAATGTCATGCTTTTGCATCATTTATAGCGCTTTGGTGCCTGAACTTGGCTTCAGTCACAAATTTGGTTTCATGGTGATGAGCTGCATGTCAACTGATGATGGAGTAAGAGCCCAGATTCAGTTAGTCATTAAAACTGACTCCCCATTTCATGAGTGGGATTGGTATGATTGACTTGGTTAAGATTGTGAGTATCTTTTTTTGTTTTGTTTTGTTTTGTTTTTGTTTTTCGAGACAGGGTTTCTCTGTGGTTTGGTTGTGAGTATCTTTATTATTTAAAAATGCATTCTATTTTCTTACAAGAGCACATGGAAATTAAACAACAAGCATACATGCACAGTTATCTACCATGGTCATGAAGTTATTTATAACAGTTTTCCAGTGCTGTGTGCTTTTTTGCCAAACGTTAGATAATTGGTTTACATAGCGTGGCCTGCTTGAATGCTGACAAACATGACCTTAAGCAGCCTGTGTATATGATAAGTGTTAATGGAAGTTGCCATTATATTGAGCCAAAATTAACTTCTGGAATACCCTTATTCTGTTTTTTTAGTGTAATTTGGACATAGTTTTAAACCCTTTAATTGGATTAGAAATTTAAATACTTCTGAACTCATGTTTAATTTAAGTGCCATTCCTTCTCCTGTTTTGAATATAGAGAATTGGAATTTGTAAGGAAGTTCTTACCAACAAAACAAATCTGTGTGTTTATTAAGGTGAAGGTCTTTCCTAAGATTATTCCGTAGTAAAAGGATTCTTCAGGTTCATGTCTCATGCTAAGATCTTAAAAAAAATTCATTCTGAACCTGAAAATTTGTTCATAAACTTCTATATAATAAATAATGAAAAAATAGTGAAATGTTTTTGCATGAATTTAAATCTCCTATTACAAATATCTGAAAAGTGCTAGTGAATATTTTGAAATCTAAAAATCAATGCTTGGCACATTTAGACTTGTGAAACCTGTAAAGGGAACGTGACTTCGCCCAGGTCGTAAGTCTACAGTTTGTAACTGCAGCTCTAAGAATGTGTCTTCTTGTCCCGTTGTAATGTTGAAGCTGGTATTGCATCTCCGAACATTTTCTGGAGGTTATATTGAGTCTTACATTTTGATTCTTTAAAGTAGCATATCTTGTTTGACTTAACTGAATTGTCCTAATCAAAAGACATATCTAAACACAGAAATTCATGAAGGAGAATCAAGGATTTTAAAATTTTGTCCTTTCGTATTGGATTTATAGACTAAACTGAAAACTTGCCAATCAAAAGAGTTCTAATGATTTTTAATTTTTTTAACTGATTTGTTACTGGGAAATTAAATTCTAACCAAATTGGGTAAATTATAAGATTTAAAATTTAGTTACTAGTTTATTTTTCAATATTGTGTTTTCACAGGGCGCTGTGAATGCAAGGCAAGAGCTTTACTTATTTTTTTATTGATTTTTTATTGAGCTCTACATTTTTCTCTGCTCCCCTCCCTG